GACGGGCGGCGCAGGCGGCTGTGGTGGTGGTGGTGGTGGTGGTGGGGTGGGGGTGGCGCGTATATAAAGGGGGGGCGACGACTTGGGGAAGGGGGCAAGGCACGGCGGAGGCGGAGTCCGTCTCGGACTCCGGTCCGAGCTCGGACTTCGGTCCGAGCTCGGCGGCGGCGGCGCTCGTGCGGGGAGGCGGCGGCGGCTTGGGCCAGCGGCCCGGCTGGGTTCGACCCAGTCGGTTGGAGAGATTTTTTTTAAACAATTTCGTCGACAGAAATAAAATCCTAGGAAATAAAATAAAAATCTAAAAATGCAAAACAAATTTTCTCCATCTAAATAAAATATTTAGAATGAGATGAACATTTTTTTGGCCCTAAAATGCAGTTTCGAAAACGTGCAATTTTCTAATGCAAATAAAATCCAAATAAAATCGAATAAAAACAAAATAAATGATTTTAATATTTTTCCTCCAATATTTCAATTATTTTGGAGAAGTCATATTATCTCCTCTCTTATATTTTAATACGAAATATTTTTTGGAGAGAAAAATTGTTAAAATCAAAATCCTCGTTTCATTATTTGATAAAAAATCAAATATGAAAACCTGGAAATCCCCAACTCTCTCCGAGGGTCCTTGAGTTGCTTAGGATTTCGAGGATTGCGAAAACAAAAATGCAATAAAATATGATATGCATGCATGACCTATGTATAACATTCCAAATTGAAAATTTGGGATGTTACATCTTGCTACAACCTTTTTAGTTCAGACCTTTCTTCATCTGTACTAGTCTTTTTTATTTTTTTATTGCTCATTTATTCCAGCTCATGTTTGGACAGAACTAAGGTCATCGACTGCTATGAGACGTTTGTTCACATGGATGATCTCGTTGAGTCCCTGATGCCTACAGGGAGACTATCTCAGAATGTTATCTCTGCGGGTATTGGCTTCATCATCAGCCACGTCGACATCCATCCCGATAAGATCATTATGAGCACAACCATCACGAGGAGGATTTTTTTACGGCGACTTCTCTCACAAATAAATTCGTAAAGCGTTTGCCCAGCATGGGGACTTCAAGCTCACAATGAAGAAATTTGTATGTAGCCTCTCCTTTTTGGCCTGTCACGCTGCTGTTATTCTTAGTATCACCTCCCTGTTTTGTAAACTATCCCTTATGGTTCTTTTACCTTTTACACTTTCCCCCCGCGTATTGTGGAGGTGATGTTCGCGATGTTTCAACAGCTTACTCCCGAGGACCCACGCGAGAAAACTGGTCACTACTACACAATTTGCATCAACTTGGCGAAGCAATGCTTCGAAGTTCTCGACTCAATCCGTTCGGGAGATGATGAGTCGCTTCGCTCCCACGCAGATTTTTTCATCAACAACTTGAAGGAAACCTGGGCGCGTCACTACAGTGGCTCGAAGGTCCAGATCAAACATTTCCCTATCGAGTATGTGAAGTCCATAAGCAAGGAAACACGTAAGCTTCTGCCCTTCTTTTGTCTTTAAACCTTGACAATTTCGATTAAATGAACATGGCAACTTCACTACATTTTACATGGAAACTTTACTACATACTGCATGGCAACTTCAGTTTTAGACCCATGGCAACTTAGCTACATATTACATGGCAACTTCACTACATACTGCATGGCAACTTTAGTTCTAGGCCCATGGCAACTTCACTTCTTCATTCTACATTACACCCTACAACTACAATAACATGCCAACTCCAACACATCCTACATGGCAACTTCAACCCCCCAATAGATGTCATGGCTTCATTCATAGGGTCAAGCCAATTTCTGCCAAGATCACTAACCCTTTTGCAACATGCTACGAAACCCCCTTCCAACGTTACTTCCACCCTTTCTCCTGTGCTTACTATGAATAGTATACTACATATAAAATGTCATTTTTTCTAATCCACTTCACACGACAATTTTTCTGTCTAACTGCGTTCTCCAACATTTACTACTCTGTTGCTTCCATTCTCACAACCATTTCATTTTCAAATTTATCAACATGCTACTTTTCTCACTACCACAATGTTTACTTACTCATCACACACCAT